ATCTAACACAATAGAACTGTCACAAAATCATATAATTGAAAGAGAACACGGTTAGTGGTATACGAAGAATAGTCGAGCATGATCATAGAGATTAGAAAATGTGTGGTCCTTTGTATGAACCTAATATATACTTTTAGTAACAGAGAATGAAATGGTAGTTTACAATAAATACGGTCACATTGATTATATACATAATAAAATAATAAAGTAAGTAGATGGCCGTTATATATTGCAGGTATTGTGGGACTTTAGGTGATATTAATTTGAAAATAAATGATAGAATAATTAAATGTGATAATTTTCTAGTAGATAGTCCAAGTTAAAAAAAATCACACATGAAATGAGGTTATGACTTCTCTTTTAATATAATAGATTTAAAAATTTTTGTGTTTGAATAATTAATTTAAATAAATTTTATCAAAAGGTAAAAATACACTCGTGTTTTTAAAGTGCGGGTTAAAATCTAGTATAGTTTTAGTTTCAAAACCTATGCCTCGAATTGTCGTTACTAACATGATGACATTGGGGCTAAACTAGGAACATATTTATTTACAAAAAAAAAGAAAAAAAAGTCTCTCATGATTCACGCATCCGTCTTCAGAGAGAGACATGAGAAGACTGACACATAATCTCACCCCCCTGAGGAATATCGTCGAACACTTTAACTGCAAAACCTTCCTCAAACCAATCTCATCTCTCTCAAACCCCAAACCCGAATCACGAGAACCCTCATCGACCCAAGACCCGTATTCACTCCTCAAGCAAGACCCGGTAGAGATCTGCCTCTCCCTCTGGCTCAAATCCTTCGCCTCTCCACCCTCCACCACTTTCTCAAACCTCACAGGCTTCCTCTCCAAATTCGACTTATGGATCTTAGCCTACCAACGAACCTGCGCCCACGTCACCGGAACCTTCCCTCCCCGCAACGCCATCCACTCCAACGCCCTCCGCTCCCTCCTCTCCCTCCAGCAATCCGTCACGCGCTCCTCCGGCAAGTTCCGGTGGAACGACAAGATGAATCAGCTCGTGAGGAGCCCTAAGGAGAAAGGAGTCTCGAGTGCCGTGTCGAAAGGAGAGGTGAGGAGGATCATGGAGTCGGAAGAACCGATTTTTCAGGACCGTGTGGTTCATGAGGTTCTGTTGATGGTGTTAGAGCCTTTCTTTGAAGCTAGGTTTTCGAGTAAGAGTCATGGGTTTAGACCTGGGAGGAACCCACACACTGTTATTAGAACTGTTAGGAGTAACTTCGCTGGCTACTTGTGGTTCATTAAAGGTGATGTTAGTGAGGTTTTGGACCGTGTTGATGTTGATGTTGTGATGGGTTGTCTTCAGAAAGTTGTTAAAGATAGGAAAGTTCTTGGCTTGATTGAGTCTTCTTTGAGGATGGGTGATGATAAGAGAGTGATGAATGTTGAGAAGAATGGGAATGATAAGAGGAGGATTGAACGCGAGAAGAGGATGAGGACGAAGAAGAAGATATTGAATGAGGATGAGCCAAAGCCTGATCCGTATTGGCTCAGGACTTTCTATAGTTTTGCTCCTAAGGAAGCTGCGAAGGTGCCTTCTTATGGGTATAGTGGGATTTTGAGTCCTTTGCTTGCTAATGTATGTCTTGATGAGCTTGATCGGTTTATGGAGACGAAGATAGTTGAGTATTTTAGACCTTGTAAAGATGATTCTATATGGAAGGAGTCTATTGAAGATGGTTGTCATAACCCGGCGTGGCCTGAGTTTGTTCCCTCGAGTGGGAAGGAGAAGACTAGGAAGATGGATTACATTAGGCATGGTGGATATTTCCTGATTGGGATTAGAGGGCCTAGGGAGGATGCAGTGAACATGCGGAAGGAAGTCATTGAGTTTTGTGATAGAGCTTTTGGTTTGAGATTAGATAATTCTAAGTTAGAGATTGAACATATCAGCAGGGGGATTCAGTTTCTTGACCACATAATCTGCCGTAGAGTTATTTATCCTACTCTGCGTTACACTGGAAGTGGAGGCAGCGTTGTGAGCAAGAAGGGTGTTGGAACGTTGCTTTCTGTGTCTGCTAGTTTAGAGCAATGTATCCGGAAATTTAGGCGGCTTGCTTTCGTTAAAGGAGACAAAGATCCTGAGCCTTTACCTTGTAACCCAATGCTTTATTCAAGCCAGTCTCATAGTAACTCTCAGATGAATAAGTTTCTTGAAACGATGGCTGATTGGTACAAATATGCAGACAACCGGAAGAAGGCTGTTGGGTTCTGTGCTTATGTAATTAGAAGCTCTTTGGCTAAACTATACGCTGCAAGGTATAGGCTTAAATCTCGTGCCAAAGTGTACAGCATAGCCACACGAGATCTTAGCCGGCCATTAAGTGAGAGCAGTAATAATTCTGCACCTGAATACTCTGATCTTCTGAGGATGGGACTAGTAGATGCTATAGATGGAGTTCAGTTCTCTCGCATGTCTTTGATTCCGTCTTGTGATTATACTCCGTTCCCTAGGAACTGGGTCCCAAATCATGAGCAAGTTTTGCAGGAGTACATCAAGCTACAAGACCCTAAATTCTTCTGTGAGTTGCATAGGTCGATAAAACGCAAGGGTCTAACCTTGCCTCAGGATGAGATCTCAGAGGCTGTGTGGGATTTTAAGACTCTTGGTGCTTGGAATTCAAAGTGTGAGAGTAAAAGAGAAGCAGATGATGGGTTGGAGAAACTTGACTCACCACCATGATTATTTACCATGGCTTTGGTACAAGGATCTTTGACACATCAGAAACAGGCTAAGATATAGAGAACATCACATGCATCTTCTGTCACATTTAGCCACTAAATCGATTCTTATATGTTGATGAAGCTCACTGTTATACTTCAAAGCATGGACTTCAGAACTTGGTTCGTTTACAGTTTATTATCCATAACAGTTCTCAACAACAGCAGTTAGTACCCAGCTTCTGTCATATCCTTCAGTGGCAACTATCCTGTTGGTAGATTGATGAGTGCAAGAACCTCCTTGGCTTTGTCCAGACAAAAAGATGGCTCAGTATAGCTCTCTATATCATCACCCTCGTCTATTACCATTCTCTCTGAACGCCATTACAGATAACTCACTTTGTTCTTGTTCTCGAATGCTTATATTCGTTCGACTTTTGGCTTCTCCTCTATATAGTAAAAGATCAATATGGTTATGTGGGTTTTATGACGTGTTTTAGAACGTAAGATGGAACAGATACTGTGTGATGGGAATTCAGGCCCCTTTTTGGCAGCATCATAACCCTTTGATTAAGTGAGTTTATTTTCTTGGTTAACTTATTTGATATGATCTTTTTGTGACAAAAAAAAAGTCTCACATAATTTTCAGTGTTTCCTCTAATAACTTCCATTTTGAAGCCTATTCAAAGTGTTCCCCTATTGTATACCTGGAATTGTTTGTGTAAACAAGATGTTGTTTACTTCGTCATATGAGTTTTATTTTTGTAATAATTGCATTATACTGGATCACACATGACAATGTAAAAAAACTCAACTATTTATGTAAAGAATGGATTGAGCTTAATCTATACAATGGGCAGAATAAAGAAACCAAAAATATTATTTAGAAGTCTTTGAATTATGATTTTTTTACCTTCTAAGACACTTTTTGTCTTTTGTTTTACTCTTTTAGTCACTTCCCACATGGAGAACATATTATCAGTGTTGAAAGTCAGGATTACCCTCTTTTCTTACCAACCCACGTTCTCTTAAGCACAGCAAAATTAACTCTGGTTCCCCCATCTTTACTCTTTACGAGAACTCAAAAAGCAGATCCGATTACTCTTTCCGACAACACCCAAAATAGATCCGATTATCATCAAATCCCTTTTACCATCTTTCAATTATCTCAGAACCCATATTTTACCGATACCAATTTCGGTAAAATCAACGACTTCTTAATGGCGAAGAAGAAATCGAAGACTTCTCAGCCATCGGCGAAGAAGAAATCTGACTCAGATCCGGCGCCGTCTTCCTCCGGTAAGTTTTGTTCCTACTCCTACTTGCCCTTTTCTCGATTTTATAAAGATTATTAGGTTTTGTTTCAAATCTGATTTCTTCTCAAATTTCTACATTATTAGGGTTTGTTTCAAAATCTTTCAAATCGCAGTTCCTTGTATAAAGTTTCTAATCCTTTCAATTCCTTTCAAATCCTTCTTAGATTTCGACTAAATTTTGTCTGTTGTTACGGTTTCTTTCAAATCTTTAAAAATCTAATTTTTCCTGGGTTACTGACGGTAATGTGTTTTTATCTTTCATTTTCAGCAAACGTTCAACCGGATCCTCGTCTCCCGTTAAGGCTATTTGCGACTGATAGGTCCCCCATCAACAAACTCAACATATATTCATCACCGGAGATCCTCGCATTCCTTCATCATTTTCTTAGAGACATTCTGGAGTTCAAAACCATCTGAGAGTCTTCTTTTGGAAAGCTATTCGACATTCCTTCCCGTCAAGCTCCTGTTTCTACAAAGCTCATTCATTCGTTCCTCACTCGCCAATTACTATGTGACGACGAGCACACGCTCTGGTCTGTTTTTGGTGGGAACCCTCTACGTTACGGTCTCCAAGAGTTTGGAACTGTAACCGGTCTGAATTGTGGATCTTTTCCAGAAGATTATAATCTTGACAAAGCCAATACTGTAGTTGCGGGTAAAGATGGAGTTTGGAAGAAGCTATTTGGGAAGAAGAAGATCATAACCATAGTTGAGCTCTGTCAGATGCTTGAGGAAGAGAAGGACATGTCTAGTTGGAAGAAGATTCGAATAGCTCTGATTATCATAGTCGACGGTGTTCTCATTGCGCACCAACAAGTCCCCCACCCTACTCCTCGATATGTTAGGATGTTTTCAAGCCTCAAAACCTTCTTTGCCTTCCCTTGGGGTAGAGAATCCTTCCTGAAGACCATCTCCTGCATGAAACCACCCAATCCTGCTCCACCTAAGATCAAAGATCCTATCACTTGGCTCGTGCACAAACTCAAACAGCAATCTTTCCGTCTTCAGGGCTTCCCTCTTACACTCCAATTAGTTGCCTTCCGCGCCATCCCACAACTGCTTCAGTTCATCCTTGCTCCTCTGGACAACCGCACTCTGATGGACCTTCAGGATGGTTACCTACCCCAACACGGCTCCATCAGTGCTCTTGATATCCTTCGTGTCAAATTTTCCTCTAATGTAAGTAACCTTTCTAAAGTTTACGTTTTCTGGTACGAATTTGTACTTAACTAAATGTCCACGTCCACGTCCACAAAGATAAGAAGTGTTTCGTCCATGCATTTGATTACAGTGTTAAAATGGTTTGCTCATGTTCTCAGCTTGCTGTCACACCGGTCATACCTATCGAAAGCCAAAACGAGCCTGGTTGGGGAGAGTGGTCAAATAAAACAAACGACGCCCGCGTTAGATACATGGAGGACTTGATAGCTCAGAAGTACAAATTCACCAAGTCAATGTGGCCTGGTGGTGTAACAACGGAGCCTTTGTTTCAACAGCCTGATGATCGTGGTCGTCGTCACGGGAAGAAAAAGCTCACTCGGGTCAAACAATCTCTCAAACCAAAGCCGCAAATCAAGAAGGAGACGTCTTCAAGGAAGCAAAGGCGCATAAGTTCTTACTTCACACCATCAAATGTGAACAGTTTGACCAACCAACAACTCACGGAGATTGTTTTCACACTTCAAAAGCAGATGGAACAGATGCAAAAAACAATAAAGAAGATGAAGAGAAAATCGCATGGAAGGAAATCATCATTCCATAAAGTGCTATCTCGTAGCAAAAAGCATCGGAAATCTCATCTGAAAGGACAGGGACCAGGAATCGATCAGGTATAATGTACACACACTTTTCTTCTGCTTTTGTTCACAAAGACTTTAGGCTCTTATTGACCCTTTCACTTATGCTTATAGGATTTCCCGGCCACTAATAAAACCGATGGTGACTCTGCACACGTCACACCTCTTGACAGCGATCCGCAAACTGATAAGGTGATGTTAAATCAGCCTCCAAATTGTGTTTGAAATTATTAAAAGGATAAAATTAAAATTATATTAGATTCTCTGTTTTTTGGTTCACTATAGGATGTGGATGGTATGGAGATAGATGATCATCAGGAGCACCACTCACCTATCATAAGTCAGTACGCAGCTTATCTCCACCGCCAGGCTTCCGCACAACACGTAACGTTCAATAATTTCTCCTTACACATAGAATTACATTATACCAACACGTAATGGTTTACCAATTCTCTTTTTGTCATATTAGGATGTGGATGGTACGGAAAACCACTCAGACACTGTCCACAGGTCACCAGACCACAGTTCCGAAGATGTCCTTGATCCTACACCACTTGTTTCATCCCACAATTCGAAGGACAGTGGCCGGAACATTGATGACCTCAATCTCACAGACCATGTAAGTAGAACAATGTCACTCTTAACCGGTACTAACTTTAAACTCTTCTCATGGTTTGATTTGGATGCTATAATTTTAGGATGTAGCTACTACGGAACACGACACAGAGGATACTGCCCACAATTCCAGTGACTGTAAGATGTGGATACTGGTCACTACTGATGTGAATGTTTCAGACCAGGTGATGTACTCATACCCTCTTCCCAAAAAAAACTTCAAGACATGACCGATTCTCATGTGCTCACTACTATTTACTCTTTTTGGTCTGAATTGTAGGATGTTGATGATATGGAACAGGACAACCAAGATGTCCACGACTCTTTCACAAATGAAGATGACAATGTGCACCATACTCAGTCACCTATATCCAGTCAGAATGCCACCTCCAATGAGACTGACAACGATATCAAGACAACTCCTGTCCGAACAGATCAGAATACCACGGAGACTCGGACTTTCGGGACACTATACCCGGGACAGTGGGACCCACCATCAAAAATCTACGATAAAGCTGATCACCCGAACAGCCCCGAGATTAATCACATGCTCTATCATGGTCTCAGGATTTACGACAAAACGGCTGTTAGCCCAGATCCACCACTATCGGAAGGTCCAATTTTTGACCAAACGGTTGGTCCATCCTCTCCTACACGAATTCGTTTACGGTTGTCTCCACTACCTTTCACTCCACTCACTTCACCAGTCAAGAGTAATGAAAGTGGCCTTGGCTTCGCTAGCCACGCAACAACACCCAATGCGTTTAAAACCACAGCTTCCTCCAACTCACCACCGGTCATCCGAGCAACCAATTCTGAGGTTGAGGTATGTGTTCTATATATCACCGATATTTGATTACATCATCTCCACAAATCTGATAACTTTTAATTTTCTTTATCAAAAAAGAATCAGGCTGCTGAGGATCCCTTCGTCGATCTCACAACCACTAAAGACCCCTCGCGACACGTTCCATCTGCCTTAGAAAACCTACTCGCTAAGGAATTTTTCAGCTCCCCCCTGATTCCTGCTTTGGATCTCATCACCCCACTCCCAGACAGGGAATGGGAGCTTTTCCATAGTATCCTCAAAACCAACATTGATGTGTAAGATTTACTAACATAAATTTTCATCTCAGTACTTGTACCAAGTTTTACCAATTTTTTATGCATGTTTTATTTATACCATACCTTTTTTTTTGTTGTCTCATAGGTACCATAGCACTCCATATCTATTCGAGTTTACAAAAAAATCTCTCCTTCAGATTGCTGAGCCTAAGCAATGGACTACCTCATATGTAAGATAATCTCTTTTTTTTTGTATCGATCATTGTTTGATGTTGTCTTCTCTTTAACTTTAAACTTAGTTTAAATGTCCAGAAAATGGAAATTCTTGTCCACATGCTCTCTGCTTGACACTCTGAGATTCTAAAGACTGAAAAAGCAGCTTTTCCCCCCTACCCTTGCTTCAGCTATCAACGAGTCTTTCATCAAATTCAACAAGTGTGGTAAGAAGAAGAAGGACACTTTTGTCTGGGACAAGCGTTTGGTGGACATTGTTCTCTCCCCCGGTAAGAAATGGATGGAGGACATCTACACCATCTACACGCCTATGCTCTGGAACAAAAATCACTGGGTTGGGTTAGCAATCAACCTCGATATGGGATTAGTTGAAGTACTTGACCCTCTCCCCGCTTTGCATGGAGTTAGACGCATGGGTACCTGGATGAAACCAGTGCTGGCTTGCCTCCCTTACCTTGTGAAGAAAGTTGCCATGTGTGAGCTAACCCAATTCACGGGTGTCAAGCCGTTTGTCTGCAACCGTATTCCAGACATCTACATTAACGGAAGATCCGGTGATTGTGGAACTGTTACAATGAAGTTCCTTGAGTTGCACGCACATGGTGATCCATCCCCTGGAATGGCCGGCCTCACAGACAAGATTGTCGACGACATACGCAAGCAGTACGCTATGGACATCTACAAGACCATGGTGCTTCCTGCGTACTATGCTGCACACTGCACTGAGGATTAACATCTACTTTCAGTGTCTCCTAACCACCTTAATATATTGGGAGTCTCGGAGTACTTTTGTTTTTTGTCTATGTTACCTAATGCCCATGATGTTACATAAGACTTAATACTTTTAATCTATTAACACTACTAATGTTTTCTGTTCTCTTTTGTTTGTCGCACACAATTAGAATTCCACAATATTCATCTATGTCCACAATCGCATCCACCTTTCTAACTTTCTATCCTGTCCACGTCCACAACCAATATGTTCCAGTGCATACACGACGGACCTCAACTGATATTTCATTTCCATTAAGTACCTACACTAACAAAAACGAGATCCACAATCCCTAAGCCGCTCCCATTACCTATCTATCTTCACCAAAAAATAAGAGAAAAAACAACCTATCAACCTCTTCCCAAATTACACATTCGTCATGAGCTCATCCTCTTCCTCCTCCCTCTCACATATAGGGAGACAAACAACTGGAATACCTACTCGTTGTTGGTGTGGAGCTAATCTAACTACATTTGGTGCTCAAACTAAAGAAAACCTCTTCCGCAGGTTCTACCGATGCGAGATTTGGCTAAAGGTACGTTCATTACCAACCCTTTAATGCTAACCAATATAAATTCTTTTCCAAGAGAGATCTAATCCGTTTAATAATTCTCAGAGGAAACATGAGCAACACTTGTTCAAGTGGATCGACGAGGCAATCGTTGACGAAATCAACATTGTTGATGCTAAACACTCCCAACTGAAAGAAGATGTTGACTCTTTCAAGGTGTCTACAACAAGACGTTTGGAAAAACACGCGAAACAAATCGACCAATCCCTCCAACAGATCAAAATGCTAATGGAAGCGAAGACAAATACCTGTGCCACTCAGGACAACTATGCTTCGACTTCTGAAGATCCTCAACCATCAACCACGATTTCCTCATCTTCCAATCCGTTGACCAACATCGCAGTTGCAGCCATTGCACTTGGAGCAATGGTCTGGATCTATGCTAGAATCAGCAACTAGATGTTGATATGTTTTTTAAAATCACCCTATTTATGATGGCAACTACGGATTTAGTTTCAATGAATGATTTTAGTTTCACTTCACTACTACAACTTCATTGAATGCTTTAGTTTCACTCGTACTAAATGTTATAATGGACATGTCTCTGGTTCTTTATAATCTTGTTCTCATATGTTATGAACTCTTTTTTTCACATTGGATGTGTCTTGTCCTTTATAATTTGTTCACTTCTTCGAATGGGATGTCTCTGGTTCTTTAGAATCTTCTTAGAATGGGATGTATCTGTTTCTTCATACTTTTTCTCTCTTGTTTAATCTAAACTTCGCCAACAGCCACAATCAACCCCACTAAACTTAAACGAACAAAAATATTAGAGAAAGACAACATAGGTGTCACCAACATAAAGAACAAACACATAAAGTACAACAAAAACATGTGAAAATGATCCACTAATGTTTTGTTGTGGACATCCACTGTTTTGCTCTCGATTAGTTGTTTTAAAGAAAAAAATAAACAACAACATAAAAATTTTCCGCCAAGAAGATCCACTTCACTAATCTCTTCACCAAACAAAATACAACATCAGATCACTCCCAAAGACAACCCCCCTCTCTTGCAAACCAAAATAACAACTTTCATTAGATGGGACACACACAATTGGTGCGGTTGTGTCCAACTCCCCTACACCTCCCACATTTGTTCTGATTCGCTTTCTTCTTCGGTACCTACAACAACACAAACCAACCTTACTTAACAAAGGTCCACAATTTTCTGCGTAACAATTTTAATCACCTTTATCTCTCCCGTAGAGGGGATGCGTGTCTTGCGACGACGTCCAGGCTGCCTCTTCGTGATGGGTGGGTATACAACCTTCTTGCTAACTTCCTCAGGTATGTTTACATCCCTTGGATCTTCATCTGGATTGATCACACCCTCATATGTCTCCCTCCACACTGATGTCTTTTACCAATGACCGCATAGTGTATCCGTTGACACGCCAAGACTGTTAGCTGCTAGTATAGCATGTCCACAAGGTATTTTTATGTTATCAAAATACTTACAACTACACCTCCCCTCTGCTAGCATTACCTTGTCAGACCTCCCAAATTTTCCCAAAATTTGAGATGTCCACTCATTCACAGAATTAATGTAACTTCCTTTAACAGTGGCCATATTCTTTGTCATCTCTTTATCCACCTCTATACTCACTGCGCCACTGTGTTTCCCCGCCTTCTTCCTACGCGCACTAAACCACCTAATCATCATTCTCTGAATGAACTTTATCAACTCTAGAATGTTGGCTCCCCTACCTTCCAATAACGCATTATTAAGCTGCTCAGCAATATTACTAGTCATGATGTTATATCTCTCACCCGGGAAATTTGCTCTTGACCAACGAGATAACCTATTTTACCAAGATACACACCACAAGCATTGTTTGTGGCCCTGATTTTCCCATATGGTTCCTTGAACTCACGGGGCATGTGCGCCATCGCTGTCTTCGTCACCAACTCTGCTAAGTGCTTACTTGAAAACCTTGAATTCACATTTCTAGCCAAATGTACTATGCAAGCTCCATGTTTTGCTTGCGGATAAATCTTACTCACTACATTGGAAATAGACACCGACCTGTCAGATATTATGGCAAGAGTTGGTGAATCTCCTAAAATCCTCTCCACCTTCTGCAAAAACCACGTCCACGAATCCTCGTCCACGAATCCTCGTCCCCAGCGTCCACAACTGCAAACGCAAGAGGGAATATCTGGAAATTAGCATCCTGCCCACTTGCTGTCAACAGAATTCCTTTGTACTTGCCGTTAAGATGGGTTCCATCTATCACCAACACATGCCTCAACTTCCTGAATCCACTAATTGAAGCACCAAATGCAAGGAACAAGTAAAGGAAACGTTCATCTCCCTCATTGTCTAGATCCGTCTGCAAATCTACAATTGTACCAGGGTTTGCCAACTTAAGCATGTGCATATATTCTGGGAGCTTCAAATATGCATCCTCATCTGAACCACGCACTCCAAGTATAGCTTTCTCTTTAGCCCTATAGCACGTCATATAAGAAGCATTCACACGAAGGTCTTCCAAAAGAAGTTTCTGCAAATCACGAGCCACCAGAGCCTTCCCAGGGTTCCCAAACTTCGCTTTGTACACTGCCGCAATTACACGAGATGTTGCTCTACTCTTGTAACCTTGTATGTATTCAATGGGGCAGAGATGATCTAGCTGAGCCTTCCTTATCTCATAGTAACCACAGCCACGAATCTCATGAGCTGTTACCCGCCAATCACACCTCTTATCGGGACACTCCACCACAAAAGAATCAATCTTAGTCCTCGTTTGCGTGAACTTAAACTGCTTTTTTATTGCATAAATTGCCAATGCAATCTGACAATCTTCCTTGCTGCCAAATACCTTTCCAACAGCTATCTCACCGTCATGTTCATCAACATCCATATCTGGGATTTCAGACACATCATATTCAGTGTCGTCAAACATTGGAGGAATATCAAACTCCTCGTCATCAACATCACCGAGTTCTCGAGTAGGGCGAGTACCAAATTTAACACCAGCATGATCATCACTAACACCTCCCATCCAAGGATTATAATCCTCTGGGTAAGGTTTGTTTCCTTTGTTCCCACTGCTTGAGCCCCCAACTTCAACATACGTTCTGGTTCCTGAATTTTTGTTTAGGCCTGCAACAATCTCATCCTCATTAAATACAACATCAACGGCATTTGAACCTCTGTAGTCTCCATCTAATAACGGCTTCCAAAACTCTGAGTCGTAACCTCTCGGTCTCACATCAATCTCCGACAAAATAACATCTCCATTACTGTTTGCTCCACAACTGTCATCAAGACCGTCGCTGCTTTCTTCTCTAACTCTTTCACCACTCATCAATCTCCCTTCCACCTTCTCAGCTTCCAGTACTAAATCTTCATCTCCCACAAGGTTAAAAACCTTAGTCTTAGACCCAGCTGATGATACATAACCCCATTTAGATGATCCAGATGAAAACCTCGCTGCGTCTGGTGACACAAACCCCATCCCTGAATCATCCACAACTTCAGTGTCCACATCTCTGGGTTTCTCGTCAAACTTAGCAAACAAGTTCATCTCCCCTTTCACTTTCATATGTTTCCAGAAATACTTCACAGTCCCACGCTTGTAATCAGCACCGGTGGAGTCCTAATCCCTGTTGCAAGCTCAATAGTTGTCGGTGGCCAGTAGCTCAAAGAGACACCATAACGTGATTCATCGACTCTAAACTCCTTCATTACTCTGCGTTCAAGTTCCACACATCCAATGCCATCGTATACAGCCACCATACGACCCATTCGATGCTTCTCGATAATGAAATCCCATTTTCCTCCATCTCCACACACCCACTCCCCACTTAAAACCAAGCATTGCTCCTCCATCCTCCTACTCAGCTCCTTCAAAAATACCCAGAAAAACATAAATTTAACGACAAACAATAGATAATAAACATATTTGTGCGTCATCTTTACTAAACTAAAAAGCCAAACCAGACTTCTCTCCTTCGCCGGCGGTGAGCTTGAACTTCTTCGCCTTCGAGAATCTGACTCATGCATTAATTACCTTACCTACTAATTTGATTTTCAACAAGCCCTCACCATTGGATCGATGTCCATCCGACGGTGTGTATGTGTCTCATTTAAGGAAACACACCAACACGTTTCTTTTTTTATTCTCCGTTGGAGTAAAACAGACACAATTTTATATTAATAAAAGAATAAAACTAACTCACCTCAGTTATCTCCTAACCACAGCAAAAGGGCATTCCTGTATAAACACATGGGGAGAAGAGGATGAAACTGCCCCTCAAGTGAGAAGTGTCTAATGTTGTTAAAAAAGAGCAAAAAGTGTCCCATATGATAAGTGTCTCTTGAATTATTGTACCTTGAATGTTTAGAAATATTATTTTCTTTTTATTTACAATAAAAATTTTCAAATTGAAGTATTAATTATCCGTAACCTAGTAAAATCCTATATAATTTGCCATTTAAAACTTCTATAGTGGTCAATTTGATTGATGTAGTTGCATGAATTGAACGTTGGTTTTGTAACCCTAGAGTAAATTCTTAACAAGTTCATTAAGCTGAGTTGGTTCTCCATTTATGATTGGTTTGTGTATTCTGAATACGTTGATCGTTTGAATTAATGTGTATCAATATAATATATATATTTTTGTTTTTGGTTAATTACTTTATTATTATTTTTTTTTTGGTGAGAATTGCGTTACCTTATAATGTATGTAGATAATATATTACTTCATTCCTTTCACTTTATTTGTGGTTTTAGTTTTTTTGCATACAGTTTAAAAAAATATATTAAATTTTGCATATTTTCCACATAAACATAATTATCTATATACATGTTTAAACCATGTTTGGTCGGATTGCAGTGAGGAAGACAAAACTCGTCTATGGATTATACCAAATGCGTTTTATTCGACTCGAATTTTTTTGTTAGTTTACAAATAAAAGAATAAACAACAGAAACAAACTGATATTCAGTGAGTTAGCGTGTACGAATGGACAAAATCTTATACGATAAAGTTGAGTTTTCTCACTTCTTAAACCTCCACATCAGTATCAGAACATGGGGCAAAAAAAGACACCTCTTCGATTACTAATTTAAATCACACCGGACAAAATTAAATCCTTGTGTCTTGGTTTGTAATAGGTTTATTATACCAGTTTAATGTTAGATCGATGTTGGGCTGGAGAATAGTTAAAGGTCCACCTTTCTTCAGAATCGTCCACGTCTGTAAGAGAGGGATATACGTTTTTTCCCACATCAACACTTCCTAATTCTTTAACTCACTTTTTCTCGGTGAGAGCATCTCAATAAAGCGCATCTGTCTTACTCCTGTTTAGTGGACCGGATTGTTACGAATTTTTAACCTTATTCCCAATTAAAAATATTTTTATAATTTAGTGTTTGGCCCAAATCACAG